CTTTGTCATTCAATCCTACTGATGTTTAGATCTAACATTAAGCAGGCAAACACGAACAGTAACAAAAAAGAACTTTATTAGAAAAGGTTAGAACTGTCACAGACATCCTCGGGCAACACCCGGACAAAATCCAACGAACTTTCGCGCCTTTTCTTTTTTGACGTTGCCAGCCACTCTTGTTGGCAAGTGTTGCCAGCCAGAGTTCGTGATCTTGGCAAGTGTTGCCAGACAGTGTTCAGGATCTCTGGCGCTGGCGGCCACAACTGTGTTTTTGTTATTTATTACCCCTGTTTTTAGGTATTCGGTATTCGGCCGAATAGTGATTAAATATTCGGTATTCGGCCGAATAGTGAAAAATAGGCCGAATACCGAATAGTAACCGAATATTCGTTACATCACTAATATACACATACAGTAGAGCATCGATTATCCGACCCCCGATTAACCGTCACCTCCGTTAACCGACCGTTCTAGTCCGCAAATTTCAAATGTCCGCTAGTGATGTAGCGCTACAATATTTGGCTATGTCTTGGCTACTTTAATATTATTTTTGTTAAATTTTTGCGTGTTTTAGCTGGCAAAATTGGCTCGACCATGAAAGGGAGGACAGACGTGCGACTAAATATCCAGATGGCACAATGCGCTGATTGGTCAGCTGAATGACGCTGATTGATCAACCTACTAAAATCGGAAATGTTGATCGATCAGCCTAAACTTTGTGTTGTTGTTGTGAGAGCGGGCAGTCATTACATAACAGTTATAGACATTTCATCTAAAACTTGATAAAAGGCACTTATTTATAATTTCACTAGCTCTTGTGTGTATTGACATTAACTGAAAATTTTGCAATCATTTTAACATTAAACTAAGTTACGTGATATCAAAGGTTTTAATGCTGAGACATTTTTAAACATCAAGAAGTAACTTTTATCTGTTTTGCATTTTTTAAGCTTTTTTGTATATTTACTTTAATAATAAAATAATCAAAAACAACAAATATAAATTGCAAATTAAGTTTTTTTTACATTCTTTATTAGACAATACAGTACAGTGGTACCTCAGGATACGAACGCCCCAGCATACGAAATTTTCAGGATATGACATGAAATTCGAACATATTTTTGCTCCACGACACGAACAAAAACTCACCATATGACGTTATGTTAGTTTGCAGCGCCATTTTTTATTCACTTCTGTTCATTGGTCTCAGTCCGCGTGTTTGCTTCGTCGTGGAAGGATCTCGCTCGATAAAGGAAATCTTGAGGTATTATCAGAAAGTGACTGATTTTATTGAAAAGAAACATCCCGAAAAGGTTCACACTGGCTGTATTGCAGCTCGGAGTAANTCCGTTGTTCGCAGCAAGTCCGTTGCTCGAGTCACGTAACGGTCAAACAGAAAGTCCGTTATTCGAGGCGTACGTTATACGAGGCACCACTGTACCTATAAAAATAAACGTATGCAATGTTCACCAAGAATATATTTATTATATAAAAATGCGTGTATTGTTATTGTTTAAAAATTAAGGTAAAATGTAAAAAACAATATATAAAATGTAACTAACAGTTTAAATTTAGTGTATACTGGCTAGTCAACTATAGTTTTGTATTCCTAGAGTTAAAATGGAAGAATGGCCGAGCGCTTAGGGTTTTTTGTATTTTTTTAATCACTTTCCACACTAAAAGGGTCTCTTTTTAGCAAGCCCATTATGGGTTCGGCCAGGCCCACAATGGGATGACCGAGTGGTGAGGAGCCCTACATATCAGGACAGACCACTCCCGAAAAATTTCTGGGGATATTTCGACCCGTCCGGATCGAACCTGGGTCCCACAGAGCGGTAGTTTGACATCTTGACCGCTCAGCCATCCATAAACGAGCACTTAGGGTGGGCAGCCTACCGATCTGAAGGATCCGGAATCGAAAAACCCCAGGAATTTTTTGGGAGGTGGTGCGTCCGGATATGTCGGGCTCCGTCCCTGACCATCCGACCTGGCTGAACCCATATGGGCTTGCTAAAAAGGCCATCTTAATGCCCACGGGGCAGAAAGAGTTTAAAAAAAACAAAAAAAAAGTGAAATGTCAGAGAGATGTCTTTACAACGCAACAAAAAATTATTATTTTTACAGTTTTATGTTATATTTTTAAAGTACATAATTAAGATGTCAAAATTAAAGAATTCGTGACAGCATGTATTCTTTATTTCGACATTAGTGTTTTTAACTGTTCCTAGATGGCGCGACCGGCTGCAAATTAAAATTAAGCCACGTGAAAAGTCATAAAGGCCTCTAATTATAAGCCTCAAATAGAAAATTTATCATCAAATAAACAACAGCTTCCCGTAAAAGAGATATTTTTTGTTATTTATTTTTTTTTAATTACTTAAATTAAATATTTGATCCGCGATTTTGGTCACTTCGTATTTAATTTTGACACTAAATTTATTATCGTTTAGTGAAGGAAAATGGCCTTTTATGTGTTACAGCATGAAACCAAAACGAGTTAAGGGTCTAGCCCCTATCCCTATCCCTAGTTACGCTACCGGCTCTTTGTAAGAAATCCAGTCAATTTTTTAAAATTTAATTATATTTATCACTTAAACTACTATAGATAAGCAGTATAATCCGGGTCAAAATAGTGTGAGACCAGCAGAAGCATTTGATCCAGACTTTAATAAGCGGGAATAAGACTTTGTTGTGGTTCTAAGCTATAAACTTTAAAAGTGATTATAAATCTGTCCCTGAAGAGGACCCACAAATAAGGATTGCCTTGGATCGATGGAATAAGGCAACATAATGCAAGAACAATCTGCCAAGGAGGCCTGTCGGAAGGACTTTTTATGGGAAACTGGTCCCTATTTAGATGTTATACGTGAAGAAAACCCGGGAAACTCCACGTAGCCAGTCCATTGATGAGGCGCGAACCCGCGACCTAACTACCAGTGTTGAGTGGTTTTATATATTAGACCACTAGTGAATTGCTCGCAAATAAGTCTTCTATATAGAAGAGTATAATAAAAAGTGATATAAATTAAATTTTTTGGATAAGAAATAAAAAAAAACCTTGTTTTATTTATTTATTTTTCGTATAGTTTTAGAGCTTTCGGAGAAAGATGGAACATTTGCGACCAGTCCGATTCCACGTCATGTCTCTACGCTTTTGTAGTCTATACATAGTAACGGTTTGTGAAGGTGTCCGATAAACCGGCAAGAATTTTGGAAAACATTTTGCCTTAAATAATAATTAACACAATTAAAATTACTCATAAAGAAGATATGAAAGAGAATAAATAATCAGTAATTAACAATACAGTAAGAAGGACTTTTATGAGCTATTTTCATTAAGATAATGGCCGATAAAAATCTTTCTGAATTTCTTAAAGTTTAATTCTGCTTCAAGCTGAAGAACCGCAAGTCTTTAAAGATGGGTAATTCAATATTTTTGGTCTTTTTTATACAGAGATAGTGATGATAATATTTTAATTAAATTAAAAGCTTCCAGTATTAAAATATTTGTGTACAGTTTATTTTCATAATAAGAAAATAAATAAGACGTTTACAAATTACTTTAGATTAATTTTTTTTTCAATCAGTTTATATTGTATAGTACGAGACAGTCTTAAACGACATAACGGTCATTTTGAATAAATATTTTAAAGAAAAACAGTTCACAAATGCCTATTTTGAGTATTTATCATCATCTAACGTGGGCGTACTCAGAGGGGGCAAACGAGTCACTTACCCTCCCCTGGGATCGTGTAAAATATTCTACAAATTATAATCGTAAAAGTGATTGAGATATGTAACCTTATACCCATGACCATGTGACATTTTGATGCAATATTGTATCCAAAAGAATTAAATAATTAAACAAAAATTTATTGATGTAATTATTCATCTCCAAGCTTCCCCCCTGG